TGACTCAACCTTCCATCCTTCTTCCAGGTCAGTAAAATGAGGACCCAGATTGTTGGAGGCAATATGCTGACTCTGTAAACTGCTTAGAGACAGTTGTAAAGCACTATGAAGCGGTATATAAGTTTTTTTAAAAATTTGATTTATATGCCGCCCTTCTCCGGAGACTCAGGGCGGCTTACAATACGGTAAGCAATAGCCTTCATACTTTTGTATATTTATACAAAGTCAGCTTACTGCCCCCACAAACTGGGTCCTCAATTTACCTACCTTAGAAAGGATGGAAGGCTGAGTCAACCTTGAGCCTGGTGAGATTCGAATTTACAGTAATTGCAGACAGCTGGTGTTAATCACAATGCTATCAGTCTGTTGAGCCACCAGGCCCTATAAGTCTTAGTGCTATTGTTATATTCAAAATAAAAATCAAGTTAATCAAGTTAATAATAATAATGTTAATAATTCATCAGATATTCTTTCATCAGTTTTAGATTAAATAGTAATGCCCTAAGGCATTTGACATCTGGGCAAAAAAATCCAAACATTCAAATTCATATACTCAGGAGTACAAATGTAAGAGATTAATCAACTCTCTTTTAATATCACTTTTTTGTTTGTTTCCTCAGATAAGTCAAATGATAATGCCAATGATAGAAATCTGACTTTTTCCCTTCCTAGAAGTATCTATTCAGTTCAGAATGATTCCATTTTACTTTTCAAGTTGCCCACAAAATCATCTGTGGCAGTTCTAAGGCAATTTGGGAAAGGGTGAGGTCAAACGTTTATTTCCTGTCTTTGTTCAGTTGGTGCTAAACTCAGGGTACACAAGAGCATTTAAGATTAACCAACAGTACCAACACCCACTTACTATAAAATTTAAACATTCTTAAAAGTTGTTTCAACAATATTTTTATACTTTAAAAACTATTTATGGCAATGAAAACATAATGCTTTACTATGTTACATGAACTTCTGGAGATGCCTCTAAATTTTATTGCAGTTTTACCAGTAAGTCATGAAAATTTTTTTTTGCTAGTTCTTAACAAAGATTCTTAGCTATATTAGACAATGGCGTTTTTCCAGATTTTTTTTCAGTTTTAGATCCTGGTGTACAACTTAAAACTCTCAATATTTCCAGCCAACATGTTGTCTACAACCTATTAGCGTTCAGATACTATTTATTTGATGCATACCAGACTATATGGAGCCCCAGTAATAGTGGGCAATTTCTTTTTTAAACTAAGACATTGCATTACACAGTTTCCGAGTAGGCATAACATAAAAATCCTTCTACCAGTCTGTACAGTAGAGGAAGAAAAATTATGAGCAACTCACTCCTACCAATGCATGCTGACCTTCCTCGTTTATTATATATTGTTTTTGTGATTAATCACTGTGCTTTAATTATGTTCAATTTGTAACAATGAAAATACATCCTGCATATCAGATATTTACATTACAATTCATAACAATAGCAAAATTACAGTTATGAAACAGCAACGAAAATAATTTTATGGTTGGGGGTCACCACAACATGAGGAACTGTATTAAAGGGTCGTGGCATTAGGATGGTTGAGAACCACTGCTTTAAAGAATAGGAGATATTTAGATCCATCCATCCATCCATTCTCAAACATCAAGAATTCCCAGAATTAGTAATTCCTTCTGGCTTTATAAAAAAAAAAGCTTGATAACTGACTCTAAATCATTTGACATACTCTGCATGCAGAAAAACATAGTTGTTTTACATTCCTTATATATTCCCCCTCCCCCCAAAATAAGAATTTTGGTTAAGCTCCGATGTGTATCTATCTATATAGCCTGCCCTCTTGTGGCTTCAGATACAATAGTTATCTATATATCGCATTGAAGAATAATACAAGTTTTTAAAACAAGCAAGTAATCACAAAATAGTATATAAGTTATCGTGTTGTTTTCACACCCTTTCTTTTCATTAAAAATTTCCTTTTTATTTAAAAAAATAATGCACAAGAATGTTAATAATTATGCAATTCTATACAATAAGATTAAGTTTGCATGATTTTTAGAAGTGCATTTATAACTGCAGTTTAGCAGTCTAAACTGCTAAACTGCAGTTTAGTGGCTTCTACTGCCATTATTTATTGATTTATATCTTGCACAGCTCCAGAAATTTCAAATAACTCCTAAAATTACCACAAACATTCCTGTACATTTGCCCATTAAACAATCAAGAGATTACCTAAACTTGTTTATTCCCTGCTCAATATTTACCATTCACTAAATATTTCATTCTCACATTTTACTTCTATCACCTACTGCTTTTGTTGCGTTGTACAACCTACTGCTTTTGTTGCAGTGTACAACCAATATACAACTCTATACTTGCACAAAATGTTTCACAATTCAGAAGAAATTTTATTTTGATCATAGATCAGCATATACAAATTTCAGAAAATCAATGAAAGTAGAACACATTTCCTTTGTCGCTTCATTTATTTCTTAAAGAGTCTTGAAGTAGTACACGATGGTGGTGATTATTCTTACAGTCCTGTAGGAAGAAAATCTGTACATATAAAACATTTGTATAACAAATACTTATGAATATGAGAAGAAACCCTGATAAAAACAGTGGTTGTGGCCTTCCTAAATGGTGTGGCTATAAATCACATGTAAAGAGAAATGTTTAGTAGAGACATACAGAAAGTCTTGACTTACAGCTGTTCGTTTAGTGACTGTTCAAAGCAACACGGCACTGAAAAAAGTGACAACTCTTTTTCACAGTTACAACCTTTGCAGCATTCCCACAACCATGTGATCAAAATTCAGATGTTTGGCAACTGGTTTCATGTTTAGGACGGTTGCCGTGTCCCAAGACCATGTGATCACCTTTTGTGACCTTCTGACAAGCAAAGTCAACGGGGAAGCCAGATTCACTTAACAACCTTATCAACCCCCCTGCGTATTTAGGAAGCCTGATCCAAGCTGAACTCGTCATGGTCGCCCATTTCTTTTACAGGCGCTGCTTCAAGGTTAAACAGAATTCTTCATGGCTTTATTGGTCACCACACTACAAAAAAGATGTTGAGACTTTGGAAAAAGTTCAGAGGAGAGCAACTAAGATGATCAAAGGCCTGGAGATTAAAACATTTGAAGAACGGTTGCAGGATTTGGGTTTGGCTAGTCTAAGGAAAAGAAGAATTAGGTATGACATGATAGCAGTATTCCAGTATTTGAGGGGCTGCCACAAAGAAGAGGGAGTCAACTTATTCTCCAAAGCATCAGAAGGCAAGACAATGGTTGGAAACTAACCAAAGAGAGAAGCAACCTGGAATTAAGAAGAAACTTCCTAACAGTGACGACAATTAACTAGAGGAATAGCTTGCCTTCAGAAGTTGTGAGTATTTCATCAGTGGAGAATTTTAAGAAGTGTCTAATCACTTATCTGAAATAGTATAGGTTCTCCTGCTTGAGCAGGGGGTGGACTAGAACAGTGGTCACCAACTGGTGGTCCATGGACCACTGATGGTCCACGAGAAAATTTTGGTGGTTCGCAGAAAAATTATTTGCATTTTTTATATAAATATTTTATATAAATCAGGGGTCCTCAAACTATGGCCCCTGGGACAGATACATGCAATGAATGTTCGTGTTGCTGCAGAGAGTCTTCCCCTTCTCCCCTTGTGCGCGTCGGGAGGGGTCAGAAATTCTGACTCGGGGTCTGCTTCAGCCTCCTGGTGCAGGGCTTGGGGCAAAGGCTGGAGGGAAGTGCCACTGGTGGCAAAGAGCCAGAGGGCCTTGTTCCAGTGGGACAGCATCATGGCCTGGAACTGGCTGACCATCTCAGCCGGCTGAGCCTGCAGGCGCTGGTACCTGGCCTTGCACTCCCACAGGTCTTCCCTCTGTTCCCTCTGCTTGAAAAGCCTATGCTCCTAGTCCTCAGTGAGGTGCTTCTGCTGAGCCTCCTCCTGGGCTGAACTGAGCTGTTTTGCCAACTCTTTCTCATGGTAGCTGCTTAGCTCTAACAACTGCTTCCTGTTGGGGCCCCAAGGAGCCCAGGCAGGCAGGTGAGGAGTGGCTAGTAGGGGAGGGGCGAGTAGAGGCCAGCGAGGCGCCTCTCAATGCGAGTGACATTAAGTTGGCCACGCCCACCCATTCACATACCCACCTAGCCGGTCATTAGGCGGATCATATTAGAGGTCCGCGGGATTTAAAATTATGAATTTAGTGGTCCCTGAGGTCTGAAAGGTTGGTGACCCTTGGACGAGAAGACCTCCAAGGTCCCTTCCAGCTCTATTCTGTTCTAAAGAATGGATTGGAAGGGGGAGCTGACGACCTCTCCCTTCCAATCGATCTATTTAGAAAGCCGGAGATGAGCGGAACTCTACAGCCGAGCCCACTTCTTTTACGGGCGCTGCTTCGAGATAAAAGCGAATCCGGCATGTAGTCGAAGCGATGCTGTTCGCTCCCCACTAACATGGCGCTCGAGACCCCCGGCTCGACTCCAAACCAGGCGACGAACAGGGAAGGCGGGCGGGCGCCCTGATCTGGCCTTTTCTGGCACGAGCCGAGGGTGTTTATTCGTTCGCATTTGGCACGACGATCTTCGCGGCGTTGTGCGATAAATGTTCCTTTTTTAGGGGGATCCAAGGGAGAAAAATTGCAGTCTTTTGGCGTTAGGTTGATCTTCAAGTTGAGAAATGATTTATTACGACTTTCCACTTTTGCCACTTCTTCTGGTGAAAAAGTTCCTTTCACGCACACATTTGCCACCTTTCTCTTTTGACGTTTTCCCTCGGTAATCTCCGCAGTTGTGCTCGTCCGTTGCCACAAAGCAACTTATTGTAAATCTTTTCCGCCCCTAACCAATATGGCGGCGCCCGGCTTTCAAATCCGACTCGCGGCTTCTCCAGCCGCCCTTGTTCTCTATGGTTCCGTGGAGGTCTGTGGGCAGGGAGTCCCGTGACGAGTGCCTGGGTACGCGGTGACGGTGGCCGGCAGGAAAAACCGGAGCCTTCTTGGTAAGGAGGGGTTGGGCAGTGAGAAAGAGGCCTGCGGTAGGAGCGGACGCCGAAGGGAGTAGCTCTCCGGCTGCGGCTGGAATGTGAGGCGAACGAGGCAAGGAGGAAACGCCGGAGAGAAGGCCGTCGGTGGGGGTAAGGCTGTTGGAAGGACTGGGATACATGGAGGGAGGCGGGCGGGTGGGCGGGAGACTGGCGGAGGCGAGGCGAGGCGAAGCGAAGCGAGTCTGGCGGATTAACAGCTTGGGGAGGGCGGGAGGGGAGTGTGGGGGACGCCGCCAAGCCATTGCAGGAGACGGAGAGGGAGGTTTGGGCCCAGGCGCGGAGCGGAGGAATGTCTGGGGCGACCCAGCGGAACTCGAGCCAGCGCGGCTGCGAAGGTCGAGCGAGAGAACGAAAGGAAAGCCGCGGGTGCGCGGGGAGCAAGAGATTCCTGGGTGCTGGGAGGGTCTCCGAGGCTGGGCCCGGAGCGAAAGGAGACAATGGGCACGGCCGTCGGCCGGGCTGGGAGGGTTTTTAGACGGACGCGGCTCCGTCTAGGGCCGGGGGAGGAAAAAAGAAAACAAAAAAGCGGGGCGATCTTGGGGCTGAAAAGGGGGAGAGCGCAAGCGAGGCAGGCGGTGCTGAGAGGCGGGTGGGGTGGGGAGAGCAAAGAGACAGCGGGGCCCTTCTGCTTTGGGAAGGGGAGGCTCTCTGCACCTGTGCCCCGAGATGGAGCCCAGGTCGATGGGTCGGGCCCGCGGGGAAGAAGTGGCGGTTGTTTCAGGGGGCAACCCGGGGCTGAAATTCAGGTTGTGGGGCCGAGTGTCGATGGAAAGGGCTGGCGAAGCGGCGGCGGCGGTCGTGGAGGAATGTGCTGGGGTTTTTTGTTTTTTGTTTTTTCCCCCTCGTGCGACCTGCCGTTTTGCGTTCCTGCCTGCTGCAAGTCTGTAGGTGGAGAAGCCTCTGATCTAGGCTGGGCTGAAAGGCGGTGGCTGCTGACAACCGAAGGCAGGGGCTGGGCTTCAGAGGCACAGGGCAGAACGAGTAGTAGCAACAACAACAACAATGGAGGAGGTGGCTACCAGAAGAAGAAGCAGGAAACCCCAAACGCAGGCTGCCCAGGCCGTTGAGAGCTGGATTATTTGCGTTTAAACGGCACCTATAATGTGAGGTACCTTGGTTAGGTTTCTCCATTCCCATCAGTCCAGTTGTGTTGGGCTATTAACTCTCAGGCCCTGCTGCCACTATGCCGATTGGAGACCAGGGTTGGAGCTCAGTGGCAATTTAGGATTTAAGAAAAGACATTGCCACCAAGCACCCATGGTCCTTACTGGTCCGGACAAGGTAAAGAGCATGAGGATGGTCTTTATTGGCAAAGGGCATATATGAAGGCGGGGGCTGGAGGGGAGAAAACTGGGGAGGATGCTAGTGAATAGCAGATAGGTTCCAGGGGTAAGCATAGAGACTTTGTGAGCAGGGCATCAGATTGAGAAAGGATAGTATAAATCGATACATTTATTCTTCAGTTGTGGTAAAACATGGTTTATGCTAGCATTGTTGTTATTTATTCACTGTTTTTTGCAAGAGGCAGAAAGGCTTATTTTTATTTTCCCTCTAACGTCGGACATGCTATCTTACTTGTAGGAAGCTGTATAAATTTTTATATTGCATTTCTTCATCAGCTTATTTTCAGTTGTCCTAGCAAGCATGTTGATTGTTGTACTGGATTTCTGCAACATTTGTTGGTTTATTATTGCAGATGGCTTTGCTGATATGTGCACTGTTTCATAATACATCCACCTATATTATATATAATTTCAGAAAGATACCAAAGGAAACTATGACTGATAGTTTGTAACTCATCTTACAGAAGGCTGGAAAAAGAATACATTATTTTAGGGTTTTTGAATGGCAGTTGTTTAAAGAGAAGAGTTTTAACACCAGCTCTTATCTTTCAGAGATTTATAATTCTTTTTCAATTTTAATGTAGTTCTTTCATCAGTTTTGCTTGGGATACTTAGTAGTAGTTTTTGACTTCTTTTAAATTTTGAAACATATGCAGTTATAGACTTAAATAACTAATAATAATTTGAAATAATTAAGCATATATTTATAATATTACACAGGTTGCAATGTATGAATGCATGCTGTATATATACTTAAAAATAATCATTTGTATGTAAATTCAAAAGTTCAGTATCATATAAATTTCAAAATGTAACTTGAAGTGGACTTTGAAGTAATCATTTTTATTAAGTACTTACATACATAACCAATGGTGCTTTGCAGAAAATAGTAGTTACAATATATTTTAAATGCACTTCATGGTCTGCTTTAGGAAAAATATTGATTAAAGATGATTTGGGGACTTCCAAAGTTGACAATTAGTTCTTTGTAGTTTTTAATAGGAAAAAATGTTCTTTCTGTTTTGCCTTGATTTTAATTTATATTAAATTCTAATATTAGACATTATACAATATATTTAGCCCTATCTTAAATATAAATACTTCAATGATATTTGGATTTCTACTGAATTTTTGTCAAGGGCTCAAAAAACATGCTTGTGATTGTATTTTAATGAATTTTGAAAATGTGTCAACTAACCACACAACTAAATGTGTTGCTATATCTTGAAAAATAAACATGCAACAAAATAGCTAATATATGTACAGAATGTCAGATGAATTAGTTGGTGGGAGGGGAGGTTGTGGCCTTATATTTTGTTTCTATTCTAGTCCTTTTAGTTTTTTTGGCAAGATTTTTTGGACATGATTGCCATTACCTTTTTTTCCTAGAGTTGAGAGAGTGACTGGCCCAAGGTCACCCAGCTGATTTAGAGTCTAAAACAGGACTAGAATTCACTATCTCCTGGTTTTTAATTGGATGTTTTAACCACTACGTTAACATGCAAATTGGTTTTATAAATCTATTGATTTTATTTTGATTTAATAAGAGAAATGAACATGAAGTGATCATCTATAAAGAATAGTTTGAAAAGCAACAGCTTTGAGGTAAGACACTGCATTGGGTATTTGCAATAAAATAAAAACAGAGAAGCAATTTCCAAATTACAAGAATATGTATTTCGTATAGTTTATAAACAGATAATTATTTTTCTCGTGTGAGTCAAGATCAGAAGTAAAGTTTGTTAATATGCTAAAATGCATGTAAAACTCTGCTTCGTTATAATTTTTTGATTTTGTAAATGTAGAATAAGGAATATTGCAGTCTTAAGTTGGTTCTTTAAGATTGCAAATGATCCTTCACATAAGCATATAATTTGTGAAGCCATACTCCAGTGCACTAATCTGTGAAAAAATTCTGTTTGTGAATATACATAATGTGAGTGTAGCTTTGTTTCATAATTCTTTTACTCTGTCTTTGTATATAATTAATTTGATGGCTTATATCAGATAAGGTAATTGCCAACATTTAAGGTATGCACTGTAATTTTCAACATCCTAAAAAAAGCTATTGGAGAAAATGGATCCAAAAGGATAATCTTGTGAAAAGATATCATAAATATGGCTCCAGTGTTCTCTCTTAAAATCTAAAACGAGATGAAAGGATCAACAACTCTGCTTTTTTTAAAAGGAAAATTTCAGGTTTTTTAGCTATATTCCTACATCAAGTAAAATATTAACAAATGGGCACCTCATGTCAGCCTTAGATGGATGAGGAATGAACCTTTGATTTGGAAAATGGCTATATCATCCATAAGTACAACAGTACTACTGCCTTGCTTTACAAACTTCAATACGTAACATGGTTCTTGAAAGTGTATTTAAAATAAACTAGATGCAATAGTGTTATCATTTTGCAATCTACAAATACCACTTAGCACTCCTATCTATAGTACACTTTTCCTGGGAAATACATAATATAGTTATTGCACTTGCATTTTATTATTGAAGAAATCTTTAATTTTTTCCCTCATGATTATATTATCAGCTTATTCTACTGTGTGAGGGACTACTTAAAATGACAAACATAGCAGATCGTTCAGAAATGCCTGAAGTCATATAAATATATTTGTTAATTATGATGTGTTTTCAAATGTTTCAGCAGCAGTTGTATTCCTGCAATGAAATTACTAGGATGTGCAACTTGCATATTTTTATTTGAGATCTGCTTTTGGTGTAGGTTGTTTGTATACTCTGAGGAGGCTTCAAGTGGAATTGTAAGATAGCCTGCCAGACAGAGAGCACTAATAATTTCCCCTACAATGTGCTGGGGTCAGCAGATAATCTTACTGCTGGCACTTACAGGGTTTTCACTTGTCAGTTATGATTCTGTCATAATAGACTACATATTAGGAAGAAATGATGCCTTTTAAAAAGATTCATAGACAATTTGAAACGTATCATAACATTAAATCTTTGAGCAAGTTCTCTTGTGCTTGTTCTTGGTGCTAATTTTTTTGCTTTTAGAAATTTGTTATCTTGGGAGGTAACTTTATCATTCCAGCAGAGTGGTGAAGCAATAGAATACAAGGGTGCCTCATAATAAACTCAACTTATTATTTAGTTATAGACTAGGAAGTCAAGGCGACTCAACCCCAAATCTAGGTTTGAGTTTGAGAACTAGGAGCAGCTGGTGTTACCAAGCTATACTTCCCAAATTCTTGTTGCACACTAACAAAGGCTGAAAGGTTTAGCTGTGACTTTTGTGGTTCATAGCAGTTTTAGTATTCTTGCTAAAATATAGCACCATCAAGGCTTTATTTTATAATATTCTAGTCTGCCTTTGCTCCATAATTTTAGGCAATGTACTTGATACTCTATATTAGCTGAAGCTAAATAGGTAAAAAGCAGTGTTTCTTATGTTTTACCAAAGTTTTATGCAATAATTGAGCATATATTTTGTTTTACAATCTTAAGCCTAGAAGAAATATGGGCAAATTTTCATTCACTCAAAAAGGCTGGAGGAAAAGATACCGAATTTATATCCCAGAGTAGACATACATACTTAGGTTCTGCAGAAGTCAGACCGTTTGCTCATATGTGCCTTCTGTCTTTACAATAAAACAGCAATAAGCAAGTTCCTGAATTTAGGGTGAAGGGTGTCAAGAGAGGAGACATATTGCCACCTGGCATAAACTCTTAATATTTTCCTCACAATCAAGCAAGGTACAGTTTAAATACAATATCTAA